TGAAATAATCCACAAAATAATATGCAACAAAAGGATTTTGTTTAAAAAAAATCTTTACATAGATTTGTTTTAAGCAAGATTCTCACTCTGTCATTATAAAGATATGATCCTTGAAATAATATGCAATAAGAAGATTTGATTTTAAGAAGTCATTAAGACAATTTGCTTTAAGCAATATTGTTTTCCAAAAAGTTTATTCTTAATAGATTTTTGTCTAGATCTATCTAATATTGTCACGATAGAAGTTAATCGTTCCACTGGCGCGGAAGAATGCAGGAAAAATGCTTCGAAAAATATTTCTTATCATCGAATAATCAGTTAACATACTCAGATTGGTTCTGTTATCTTGTCGAATTGTCAATGGGAATGCCAATATAAACAAGCTTTGGAGCTGATAATTAGATCCCGATATGATCTCCAGGAAGAACTTCACAATTACCTCAAATAATTATTTCAAACAATTACAAAATAAGATAATATGTTATTTAAAGTAATAGTTCAAATAATGTTACTTAAAAAGTGATCACGGGCATAGAGATCATTACAAAATCAAATTACGCGTTATTTGAAATAATATTTCAAGCCATGCCATTTCAATTGTGCCCAGATCTGGCCGGCAATTAAGTGAAATCACAGATGAAAAGAATGCACAGTGAAGATTTTAATGTGAGGATGCATAAAATATAAAAATAACGGTGGTCTGAGAAACGTCTCTTCCTAAGGGCCTCTGGTGAGCTAATGAGTTTAAAAGCATAAGGGGTCTTTCTGTTGTCGCAAAATTTCACAGATAGAGTGTTAATTCGAGTAGAATTATGAGACGAGCACAAGTTGTCGCGAGACCGACGTATCGCAAAAGAAATCGCGAAACTGGTCCCATTAAGGTCTTCGGTGTGCATCGTAGATTCTAAGATCCACTTAACGTTTACGATAATTAGAAGGAATTCACGATGCTAATGGTCGACTGCTCCAATCGTGGCAGCGGCAACGAGAAGACGTGCACGTTGAACTTGACGTGCAATTTTGCGTTCACACTGTTCTGCATGGAACGGTCTGCTTGCTAATAGCGCTTTGTTCGCAATGTTGATCTCCTTCTCAAATACCAAGCATGATACTGTGATTTTAATTGTTACGTTCGAAAATGTTTCAGTAGATGTTTAATGGAAGTTTCAATTTTAGTGGATTTTTAATGGAAATTTAAATTTTAATGGATTTCTAATAGAAGTTTAAATTTTCG